TGCTTCTCTGGAAAAAGGAGATGGTTTGTGCAGGAAGATAATGACGGGGCGCCATGGGCTGTAGCTCAGGTGTAAAGACGGCGGCTTCGAACTCCGGAGGTGAGGGGTTCGAATTCCAAAATGGACTTCAGTTTTTACCACTGATTCCCGTAAATAGGGAATTTACCGCTGGGTGCTTCAGTGCAACCAGCGGAAAAAAGGGTTGCAGGTCATTAACTACCGATCAATAGAGACAGCAAGGTGTTCTGTCTTGGTTTAGAGGAATGGGGCAGTGGTCATCCTTGCTGTCAGAAGCGAGCCACACTCAGTTGTAGTTCGCTTAACCAACTTGATAGCTGCTTATTCAATGGAATGGTCAATAAAATTAGTGTTATCCTGTTGTTAGCGTTTAATCTCCATGCAGCAGACTACCATATTTGGATTCAATAACCGAGTCTCATCGTTCCAATGAAATTTACGGTCACGTATTTCGTTTTGGGTCAGCAGTGCATAATTCCAGCCGTTTGCATTTGCTTTTTGTTTCTTATTATTTTATGATTACATGAACGACTGCGGCTTAAGTAACTTTATTTGGGCAGAATCATAAACAAATACATTTTACGACGAAAGAAACCGATATTTTCGTACAACGTCTTGTTCTGCACGTGCATCACCATCAAATGACGCGTATTTGCGACAAATTGGAGTCACCATCGTATTGTCGATATCCTAAACAGCACGGGTTATACAGGTGGCCAGCGGGCTATAAATGGTTAATATTTCTGATTTATCAAGTTGTTTAAATTACATCATCCCCATTAATCCCCAAGGAATGCTTCGTCATCTTTTCATCCTGCCGCCTGCTCTCTGAATGGAAAATGACGAGTCTTATAAGCAAGACAAACCAAACAGGCTGCTTGTGCTTTATTAGTGATATGATGAAGTGCCGAGGCGATATCACTATTTTTACCCCCTGGATGGGAACGACTGGCGAAATCCGGCTCGGTGACGTCTGTCTAACTTACAGATTCATATCATCGATCAGTTATCTGAACGAAAGCAACAAAATGCACGTGCATATTACTTGTATGGTATAACTTATAATTTCTCAGCGCTTAACCCCGCGTTCGTGCCTGCAATCATGGAATCGCAAATTTTGTGATTAATGTAATATTTGCAGAACCTATATTTTATGTTCAAACTAATGCAAAAAGAGCACCAAAATTTGAAAGGACGTGCTTTTATTTTTATTAAATGTGCTTACAGATCGAAGAATATCCGTCGGTGTTCATAAATGCTTTTTGCCCCAACTCAGAGTTTTGAGTTCATGAGTTACAGGTGCTACAGCAACATGGAACTATGGTACCTTTAAATGGCCCCTTAGACAATGAGGAACAAGAGTAAGGTACGAGTGCGCCTGGTGAGTTCAGAGAATTGACAGTAAATGGAAAAATGTGCATATGTGTGTATGTGAACACCAAAAGTGACGGCTCCCCGAAGACACCGATTATGTATCGCTTGTATGCATTTCGTTATTAAAGCTGATAATTTTGCAATTATAGGTATGTGCTGAAGATTGAGCTTATCACAAACATTAGTTTTAACTACTGCTGCTACGAGTACTCAGTACCTGAGCACGGTTTCTCCAGATTTATATGTGGCTAACGTACCTTCTCTTGCTTCACTATGATCGTTTGGTTGGCTGTACACGTCTCTATGATATGATATTACAGCACCTGCAACGCACCGCTCGATGATATAGATGCACGTGATTTGTCGCTATATGGAATCCAGACATTTAATTTTCTGTAAACTTCAAGGGCATAGAGTCAATACAGTTAATATTTGTACTAAACATGTGTATAGTTAAATTTGTGTTACTTGCCCAAATTTGCATCTTTCATTTGCATTCCTAGTCACCTTATGAGACGGGGGCAGGCCATTTAAATCAGTAATAATTCAGCACTTATGTTGACTGGGTGGAAGGATTGGGCCACAGAGTTGGGCCGAGCAATAACCAATTCATTAAAATTTTAACCGTCAGAACAAACCGATTTTTTTGGTTCCTGCTGGTTTAGTTTTTATGCATGCCACCATTTTAATGAAAGATGGGGGCTTAAGCGCAACATAAACTGAAGATGCTCCGCGAATTATGAATTAAACGAAGATATGAAAACAAATTAACTTCCATTTAGCACCTTCATGGTCACGCTTTAGGACATTTTTGTTAGAAACATTTCCAAACCTTCGTTAAATGAATCCTCGTCTCTCAGATAGGAAGTTGTAACTTTCAGTGTCACGCTTCCATACTCAGAACAGGATATCATCTATGATCAGTCACTACCTATGACCGACTGCGGCTGGACAGTCATTGCAACAGTTATTATGAAAGTAGTTGCCAAGCACTGACTTCTCGAATACCATTCAATGACAAGTGAAGTGCATTAAACGATGTATGACCCCGTTACATATATATATTCAAGACATATTAAGGCGATTCAATCAGACTCAACGGCCGTCGATATAGCGTTTGATTTGAAGTTAATTCTTACTGGCCAAAAAGGCACCTATCCGTCATCTCCATGTGGGTTTGGCAACACTAACGGTCATTAAAACAACTCGAAATGGTAACTAGTTTCCAGCAGTGATAAAGCTTGACTGCTAACGGTCAGTCTCCTGCTGCCACTGAACATTGCTACCACTGCGAAAATAAATACAAAGGAAAAATGAATGTTTTCTGTCCGGTCCGACAGTGGCGTCGAGGGACGGTCAGGTCCCATCGAGTGCGTGTACAGGTTATGGATAGTGAGACAATCCTCAGATATGAGTGTCAGCTATCAAGTGGAGAACCCTCCTAATAAATTAGAAATGTAGTTAACATATTGATATTGCCCGGAAGAAAAAAGGAAGGCCAAAGAAACGATCGTGCGATGTCATCAAGAAACAATGAAACGATGAGGGGTTACCGAGAATTAAACCAAAGACCGAAAAATGTGGACGCAGTTGATTCGGTCAGCTGACCCCTATTAAAGAAACTATACAAGGAAGAAAAAGAGGAAGAAGAAGAAGAAGAAAAAGAAGAAGAAGAAGAAGAAGAAGAAGAAGAAATGAGTGAATGAATGACTAGTTTCTATTACCGTATTCCATTCCATCAACAAAACGTTGGCGGAGATCTGCCGTTCGTTGAGGCGTATGTATGCAAAGAACCGGCTGCACTGATCGTCACGAAGTAGTTTTGAGCACAGGCTGTAGCACCGGTTATGAATTATTAAAGATGGTTTGGGCATGCTAGTAGCTATTCTTCAGAAGGAACGTCAAGAGATTAGTAGGAAGACCGTCGATGCTTCGGCCTGAACCCCAATGGAAGGCCTACCTCAGAACTTAGGCATCAGCAGCCCAGGGCAGAAGACGACGTAGTAGCTGGGGTCGTGCCCTGGGGCATGGTAACAATAAAGATCATCAGAGGGAGACCAAACTGGAGGATATACAGAACGCAGAGACGGTAAGCCACACTGGTAACTTGATGACTCTATCCGTGAGGTAACCGCCGGATTGGCAAAAGATTTTGTGCCACGGTTATTCGGTTCGCTTTGCCGCCATCAACCACTGACGATGAGGTTACAGAAAGACTTGAACTTGCGAGAAAGAAAATAGTTGGCAGGTAAATAAAACCTGCGCCTTTCGAGCAGGTGCTAAAATTTCTTTTCAACAAGTTTCAGCATCGTATTCTCATTTGGGGTAGCAGAAATTAAACATATTGAGACTCTGAATGACGATCGCGAGTAAATCACAAAGAAGGCTCTGAAAAAAAATGTTTTGACGTCCAAAGTTCTTCCGTGCCTTGTGTATTTGTTCAAAGTTTCTCTTAGTCAGAGTCAAGTCTTTAGAGAGCAACGCTGGAAGTCTGTACAGCAGGTTGTCTAATACAACCAATCGCCACTGTAAGATAAAGACAGGAACTTTGTTACATATGTAGACAGTTACTCAGCTGTGCACAAAAAACATCTGGAGATCGGCAATAGAACCCCATATTTTTAAGGCTACAACGTCATGGTCCTTAATTTCACATTAGTCGAGTTTTGCCACATCGACTCGACTCGACGGACAACATAACAAGCCTAGTGAAAACGAGTTATTCGGTGTTGGTTAGCGCCTCACCATTTAAATAGTCACTGTAAGTATCGGGAACGTAATTTCGGCCGAAACGCATCATTCCGGGGAGTTGGCTCTTTTCATACTGCATCATCGATGCTCGTTTTCCGAATCTCATCAGACCTGGCGAATCGCGTTTGAAGCCGGCCATCGGAGCAATACCGTAATATTTGTCGAAGTCATTGCCTCCTAGAACAAGAGAAACGTCATTAATGGAAGTCGTACAATCCACACTCTGAGTTCGGCTCATTTTTAACATAGAAAACTGACTTTAGAATTAAAAAATTTATTACATGCGTACACTGCATTGCTATCCTATTATCCATTAGTGCCTGAGCGTCATTGCATGTTATAGTGAATAGAATGAAACAAAAAAATGGAGAAAGTTTAGCATGAGGAGACATGAAAATACAGGACATTCAGCGCATGATCAGATCATATATTTACAATGGACAGCTAATGGAAACGAAGAGAAAATTGGATAACCAAATTCCTCACAATAATCCCAGATTTCATCACAGTCCTTGACCCGATCTCGACAGAGAACCTTTGGGATGTTGGTGAACAGTATTAAATCAATTGGATGGAGGAAGACGCATATTGAAATTATTAAAAATGAGCAGTTGTACAGGAGGTATCATTCAACTGTACATCAAGCAAAAATGATTATGGAAAAAGATGTATTGCAGAAATTGCCTAAAAATGAGTTTGCGCTTTATGATAGCCTCCACTGCTGATTCTAGGATCAACGATGACGGCATGCCCTATGCATACTGCAAAACTAATTCTAATTCAGTTGTCATACAAGACAGCCTACAGACATGCCTACATGTCAGAAATTGTCATTCAAGCTGGACTCGTGTTGTGACGTGTTTGCTGATCTGCTGTACGGAAACTTCCTTTCATTAATTGCCTCTCTGATGAGGAATCATTTGTGATAAGACTGGCCCATCGAAGTCGTTACGGCAAGCAAGTGTCGCGTATATCGAGCACCATACATGGGGTCTTAGACCGTAGAATATTAAGCAAGTAATAATCTCTCAGAGTGATATTCTCGGCCGGCCCATGACGTCACCAATCTTGCTATGGCCTATGGAAATTCCACGTTACGGATATGCAGGAGCGTCGAGCACTGTATGTAGTCAAATGTGATGGCCTTCATAAATACCCGTCACTTGATCACCAAGTACAAGATACAGGGGCAATACACCGTGAAATCTGCTTTGCAGAAGCTGCGTCCTCTAACACCTACGGGTGGCAACATCGAAGTGCATTTCAGATTAGTGCGAAGCACGAAGGTCCTCTTTGCATTAGCGAAAGGCGTCTAACATAAATCTGAGGCACCTGTCGGCAGAGGTCACATACTGACGTTTCAACTGCCGCGCTGTTAGAGACTGTTTTGTCTGATGTGACGAGGACAAAAACAAAGGTAAGTTTGCAACCATCGAAATGCTAGCTTTCTATACACTCTAATAATGAGGGTATTTTTTGGGGAACCCTGATCGCCAGTGTTATGCCATCAGTCAAAAGCGAGTTCTTCTAAGGACAGCGTTGGCGGCAGCAACATGGCAAGCATGATGCTCAATTTTCTGCTTCCTTCCCGCTAGGTGGTACTCGTTTATCAGACTCGAAGGAAAGAAAAGCGAGCGACTCGTCCAGGGATCGGACTCCGGTCCTCTCGGTTGCGAGTTCGATTCTCTACCGACTGAGCAAAACCGGTCATCAAAGCGGATAAGAACATAGGTTAAACGGAACTGGATCCAG